CCGGGCGCATCGGCGGCACCATGTCGGAAGACCCAGCTGATTTGGGACGGATCATTCGTGGGAAACACCAGGTTCCAAAATGGTGAGATGGTTGCAGAAGGGTTTCAAAACTAGTAGAAGTAAGGCTGGGAAGATGTTTCTTCACATGTTCGAAGTGCGGTATAGGTTTCAGAATGGATTTGGACTTGCCCGAAAGGCCCCTTCTCAGCCCAAAGGACGTAAACCACACTCAAAGAAAAGGCGTCAAGTCAAGCCAAGCCAGACACGAGTGCCGGCTTTGGTAATGAAGGCCAATGAATGCCTGTTACCCATACATAGGCAACCAACAATTTTGTCTTTGGGCTTCAAAGGGTGGTTCCCTTGCCTACCTGCCGGAGAAATGGACTCTTTGTCGAGGGTGTCCTTTCCTTCACAGACGGAGAGCGAGGGCGGAGCGCGTGGCGCAAAGCCGCAGCCTCTTGGGACCCAAGCGGCTTGCGGAACGAGCCTCGAGATGATGAATGCACCGTAGACTGTTGGACGGGCTTCCTTTCCTTTTTCTTCAATGTTAAGCTTTGTTTAAAGCCCCCCCACCTGACAAGGTTCACAAGATGGACAAGGTGGACAAGATTAGATTTCGATCTCTGCCCCCCGCTCCCCCCCCCAAAAAAAAGCAGGTCCTCCTAACCAGTTTTGGGTGACTACCCTTATTCTTGGGAGCAACCCGGCCTTTCCTTTTTCAGGGTGAGTTTCCAATGCAACTCATGCAACTGCGGCCAACTGCAAGAGAGCGACAACTTCTGACAAAGCGTCTTTCTTGTAGTCAACCCTTCCGGCACAATGTGGCCATGGTTCAAAACCAATGGTACCATTTTGGGATAGGTGCACCACCCATTTTAGTCTATTTTAGTTGGGATTGGGATGTTCACTGGGGGTACCCTGGTGTTGACCCATGACCATGTGGTTTCTTCTCATGATGTTGTTTATTTGATTAGTGAGTTTGTTCATGGGTAATTAAGGGGCAGCGAGCTCAAGCATTATTTGGGTCCTTTGCGCGATTTTGCAGTAGGACTTCAGGTTGTGTAAGATGCTGCTGGTAAACGTCCTGGATTGACTCTACAGTCATGCCTGTGTGGAAGAACGAATCCTTTCCGACAAATCACCATATGTGTGCGGCTCAAAATGAAACAAGAGGGGTTACCAAACCACAGGTTTTGGTCCATGTTTCCACTTACCAGGGCAACCCATTTTGGAATTCCGGGTTTCTTGAGCCCCAGCCATCTGTGTCGCCGTCTCCTGAACATGGCAGGGTTTAGAGAGCGGGTTTCATTTCCCGGGTCTTTTTTTTGTCCATCTTCCGTTTGCGAATAATAAATTTGTTTATTTCGCCCTTTGGTTTCAAAAGGAATTGTTCACTACTGGAAATACCTTTTTTCCAGGGGGCTTAAGCAAATGGAAGACATGGGATCGCGTCTGAGCTTATTTGTTCACGAGTTTCACTGAATATGGACCAGAAAACACAATCCTATTGGTGGGGCAAAAGTTGAAGTAGAATAATCCCGGCTGGCTCAACATGTAGTATTTTGCGGTTGCCCTATAGAACCGATCTGAGTCTTGGGACAAGGGCCGAACGTCGGCCAAGCACGTCCACAACGTGCACCTTCTGAATATGCCGTAGATATAAGGTTAGATGCGCCAGGAACCATCTTGGCAGGCTACTTGGACCCTTGATGGTAGTACAGATCAGGGTAGGATCAAGGGGTTTGTCCCCACTGACCTCCGGTGTCGCTCTTTGCTTTTGAGGCTTATCCAGGGGTCGCTGGACCTCCAAAAGTGGCAGTTTCCATGGAACCCGCCAGTATCTTGCAACTTTTGAAGGAATATTCCAGTGAATTCTGGTATTTCTTTGAGACTAACAACATGCCAACATGCCCTTCTTTTTTTCCCATGGGACGCCACCAGGAGTTTTTGCCCAACCTTCGGCTCGGCCTCTTTGGGGCTAAGGCCTGCGATCCTCTCGGCGGCCAATGAGCAAGCCGTGGAGCTTCTTTTGACCAAGGCACGCCGACCGAGTGCACGCGTGTCCGAAACGCGCACGCGCGCGCGCCGTGCAAATTCGCGCAAGGCTCGCGGAAGACTGGCGCAGTTTGTTCGGCCTGTTGGGGTTCATGGAGGGTGAGACGGTGGGAGAGTTGAAAGTATTGGTTCCACGAACTTCTGATACTACCCCTATGGATTGGCCATGACTATATATAGAGTTCAATCTTCCACGATATGTTGCTTTGCCTGAAGGGCCGGTTAGTGGTTTCGGGGTAGTGGTGCCCATGAAAGGCGCATGTACGACATGATGAGCGGGGCGTCCATTTGCTCAAGGTTCATGTTTTGCAGAACATATGCCTTTGAACCCAACGGGGAAAGATCAACAACATCACCAACTTATCAAATGAAAGAGGGAAAACCATCAGGGGTTGTCTTTTGACGCTTTGACCGTGTGCTTTGCTGTCGAAACAAAGGCCCCCCTGGTTTCTGCGCAGCTTGTTCAGTTTATTCAGGTTGTGAGTTGTTGCGTGTGCCTACAGCTGGATGCTCCGCAACTCCCGGCTCCACTGTTTTCCTTCTGTAGTCCCTTTAAACATGACTTGTTGGGCTAACTTCAAGGGAGTTTTCTTCCCTCTTGGATGTTCAGGGAACTATTGCACCACCTAAGAAACCCTGGTTTCTGATTCGATTCCCCTGTAAATACCAACAACAACCATGGTTTCATTTCGTGCCGGAGAAGCATGGGGCGAATTTATGAAGCCCAGGAGATCGACTTTCTGGACATCCCGGTGGTCCTGGAGAAGGTCATGGACCAGGCCAGGGAACTCCGAGGCCGCTCAAGTCTTGAGTTTCCCCTCTGGGTATTCAAGGGAATCCATCACTACACTCGACGAGTTGTTTCACCTTGTTTGTTCAGTGGCCTCGACTGACGGGTGATTTTTTTAGGTCCCTTTGTAGCCAGTGTTTTCCGATTCTGGCGAAAGGAGGGGGCTCAGCCACGACCAAGCCGTTTGTCGGACTGTTCGGCCTTACTTGTAAAGGGTAACAACCAACCAGTGATGGTTCTGGGGGCTTCTACAAAAGGATTTCCTTCGGATCCAAGGCCCTTGAATTTGGAGCTGGGAGGCCTTGGATCGTGTTGTTGGTGTGTTTCTTCTCGCCTGGTTCTCTCTCAGAACAAGAACCCTTCTATAGTGGAGCACCCCAAAGCATTCCCATGAGTCAGGAAACCACCCTTCTATACTGGCCCAGTGCTTGCTTTGGCAGGTCCAACGTGGCTGATGATTCCACTGAATATGAGGGATGCCCACGGAGAATCCTGCAGAGGTGGGAGGTAATTACAGGCGGGTCCGCGCGAAGTCTGTTTTAACAATGCTTTGACTCACCTCTAAGAGCATTCGTCTCTGCACAGTGGCGTATTGGCATGCTCACTCTGCAGATTAACATTGTTGCCCAAGAAAAGAATCCCTTTTTGACGAACGGAGAGACGCCGTTGTTTGGGCAAACTGGTTTAGTATGGTTACGGTTTAGTCATGTTTTAGCAAGGGCTTAGTTGACCATCCACTGACACGCTGTAGTTAAAGCTTCGGACCGTCTTATGGTCGCTTCTCTGAGCTTGCTCTCCTCTTGATTTGTTTGTTCCATGCTTGCCACGATTGAGCACCCAGTTTAGGCAACCGGTTTGGCCCCATTTTGCAGTTCCGATTTAGCTGGTCAGGTCAACTCAGTACTTAGTGACCATACTGACAATTGTTTAAAGCGGTGTCAACTGGGGGCAGGTGAGGGATACCATGCACTGAGCTCGCTCGACCATCGAAGTAGCATCGTGCAACTGGCCCAGGCAGAAGCTGACAAGAAGGCCCAGAGGGGGGGAGGTGGGCACATGAACACGTTCGTCAAAGAGCTCAATTCTACTTGTTGGCCCTTCCCCAATGGAGAATGCTCTCAAAATCGGTCAGATTCTGGCTGTACCCGGCTGAACATCGATTCCAAGAAGCCAGGTCCATTGGTTGCACGCCGGGGCACCAAAATTTCGGCTCGGCGCACGGTGGATGTCACTCCACCGTGACTCCGGAACCTACCCCGAGGGTCCCGGAGTCTCTAGGACCCTGTAGGATGGCTTTTGGGGCCAGTTTAAGGGGGTTGATATATGTTGATCGCCAAGATGGTTGGGATTCAACTCGTCCTGTGTCGCTCCTTTGGCCTTCAGATAGAAGGGTCCAAAAATGGGTTCTGGGTCCTTGAAAGCTGTTGGAGCAGTGTCAACCAAGTTACCATATACTATTGTAAATGGTAGAATGTTTGTTCATTGTTCCCATTTACCATCTTGCAATTTGCCATTTACCATTGTAAGGGTTACCCTGTACCATTGTACAAGGTTGGTTTTGTTTGGTGCTGTCTTGTTTCTTTCATCACGTAACAATGTTCTACCCTTGTTCTAGGGCTATTGGAGCCACTTTGAGATGGGCTGTGCTGAAGCCGCTTTGGATAGGGCCCTTCCCCATCACAATGGTACTTGTTGCATCAGCAGAAACGTTTCTGATGTCCACTGGAAGGTGGGGGGCAACTTGCGGAGGTGGTCCTTCCTTGGAAGTAGCTTGGCGCGAACCGTTTGAGTGGCAAGCAAGTTTGGAGTTGTTGGCCAATCAACTCAAGAAGTAAGACCCATGATTCTTGCCAGAGGGCTTGCGTCAAGACACGTCGGAGCTGAGATGAGATTTTTAAAAGCCACCACGCCTGCAGCGAGAATCATGCGACACGAGACTGACGCTTCTGTAGCTGTTATTCTCAGGTGCTCAACACACAACTGTCGAAGCACACAATCTTTCAGTTTCGCGTGGATCTGGTTTTGGATTCTTCGGCTCGACTCTGGGCACTTCGGCGGGTGAAGAACCAACATCCGGCCATCAGCCCAGGTTTCCGGGAACACCTGGCTATGGGGTTAATATCCGGCAGCCAAGCAAACCAGCGCAGCGTTTTTCGTTTTTTTTCCGGCGGCGCGAAGCTTTTGCCATGGAAGAGATCCGCTGGCGATGGAAAGGCGACAGCTTTCGCAAAGGCCGGCGGTGAGACTTACGCCGTCGAGGCGTCTGCAATGGGCAAAGAGTTTTGCGCCAGTGAAGGTTCCTTTCATCGCCCAGTTGCCCAGTGGGTTGCTTCCCTTTTTTGCCTGTTTATTATGAAGGGTTCCCTTTAAACTGAACCAGGATGCCCTTTTTTCCCCTGGCCACTGGGCATTTGAGATCGGGATCCCGGAATGGGTAGTGGATTTGCCCGTTTTGGCGGATTCCACCGGTCAATTCAAAGCATTGGGTATAGGGTTTTCTTGGCACCTTATTTTGATTTCCGTATGGGATGAAAAGAAATGAACTGGAGCCCGCCAGAAATCCTTGGTACAGGGTTCCTTCGAGTTTTTTTACCAGGAACCTTGGTACCTTGTACCAGGAACCAATTGGGTGCGCCTTGTTTTAGTGGGGCCCCAAAATGGCGGTTTTCTTTTGTCTTCACTCGAAAACCGCCAAAACGGGTATACCGTATACCCTCAAAAAGAATACCATTTATAAATGTCCTTTTGTTTCCCTTTGCCGGCCAATTTTCTTTCTGGCCGATCCGGTTGGAGCAAACCCTGCGATACCGGGTGCCCCTTGTTCTTCTTGAGGAGTAAGCAACACATGAGTTTTTTGACAAAGAACTCGTGCAAGTTGCATGCAGTCGTTCTCATAGCAATGTCCAAACTGTTGTGGGATGCCTTTGATTAGTGCAGGCTAGAACCAACATGACAGTCTCAATGTTCAAAAGCCTGAGATTGAACAATGCTGATAATTGTGCAACTGTAGTGTGCTTTGTCTTTGGCAAACTTTCAGGAATTGGACACCTGCTGTTCTGTCATAATATAGAACCGGCAGGCACTGTAGATGTATAAATGTATAACTGTAGGTATGTACTTTGCATACATTGTGTATATATATATACATATATATATATACATACATATATATATATATATATGTATTCAGACCAGGGCCACGTTTGTAAAGGTATTCCAAGGGGCCAATGGGACCCACACCGTGGATCGTCGAAATTTTGGAACCCCTTTTTCCGGCTTCGGTTTCCGGTGCAGGAGGTGTCCTCCTGGTTCTCGGCGTCGGTTTCCGCGGGAATGGTCATCCAGATCCACTTGGAGCTGAAACGGATTCTTATTATTTTATCCTACGGGCCGGCTGTAAACAAGAATGCGTAAGACATCAGGAAGCTAAGCCGTGGCCCATGCCTCATGCGATGTCCCGCGTGTCCTTTTATGAGTAACTCTAGTAGACAGGTTAAGATTCCCGAAATGTCGTTCATGAGTTTGGTAGTTTGAATCTTAGTCGATTTCTGCAGACTTTGATCACGTTGCGCAGCCATCTGGGCAACAGAACAATCTGCCGCTACAAGCCATGTCTGCATGGTAGCGGAGCTCTACGGCACGATTCAGGACACCAACATCAGGAGGAGGACTCCGAGGGTGATCCCCTACAGGAGGAGGAGAGCGCCGTGGGGCGAGCCACAGCGAGGCCCGGCGGGAGAACGGGGCCAGGTGGCGGACAAGAAGGAGGTGGTGCTTGGAGCCAGAGCCAAGAGGAGCTGGCGCTGCTGGAGGTGGCTGACCGCCCTCGCGGCTTTGGGTTTCTACGCGGTGGACGGCCACTACGTGGTGATCGGGTTGGCCCTCGATGACGGAGATGGAGCAGATCGTGAATGGCCTCAGACAGGTGCAGCAGCAACTGCAGGTGGTGCAGTCGGAGAACCAGCAGCTGCCCGTCAGGGGGCACCGGGAGCGCTGGGTCCATGGAGGTGATCGCGGCGCTGCAGAAGCTGCCGGAGGCGTTGGAGAAGATGAGCAGAGGGGGTCGAGGCCTGATCGACCAGAAAGGGCTTGGTAAGCCCCAGATCTTGGGAGAAGATGCGGAGGCGAGATTTCGGGTCTGGGCGGTGAAGCTCGAGGACTATGTGGCGGGCGTCTGTGGTGGGAAGGCGCGAGAGGTGTTGGAATGGGCCGCCGGGAGTGAGGTGGATGCGACGTTTGGGGTGGCGGCGGATCTCACGGATCAGTGGGATGAGGTCACGGAGTTTGATCACCAGCTCTACACCGTCCTGAGGTCGACGACGGAGGGGGTGGCCTTTGACGTCATCGGGAACGAGCCGATGGGTGCTGGACTGGAGGCGTGGAGGTTGCTCCACAAGAAGTACGACCCGGCGACGGGTGGGCGAAAGCGGATCATGCTCCAAGCTTTGACAAGCCCGGAGAGAGCCAGTTATGAGAACCTCGGAGCCGCCCTGGAGAGATGGAAGGCCTTGAGAGGCCGCTACAACAAGAAGAAGGATCAATTCGGGCGCCGCGAGGATTTGCCCGACTCGCTCGCTATGAATGCCTTAAAAAAATTGGTCCCGAAAGAGATGGAGATGCACTTGCTGCTGAACTTCTCCAGGCTCAAGAACTTTGAGGAGATGGAGGCCGAGGTGGTGACCTTCATGGAGGCAAAGACTGGGAGCAAGATGGCGGTGAGCAGCAACTTCAGCAAGAACACCGGCGGAGGTGATGCGGTTCCCATGGATGTGGACTCGCTGGTGAAGGCGGTGTCCGGCAACCTTGCGTCCTTGGTGAAGGGCAAGGGCAAGGGTGGCAAAGGAGGAGGCAACGGTGGCGTCAGGTTCGAGGGGACGGAAAGAAGGGGCATCGGCGGAAGCTGCTGGTCGAAGCCTACTACCGGAGGTGGAAAAGGTGGAAAGTCCCCTGGCGCCGGCAAAGGCTCCCCGAAGAAGTTTGAGGGCAACTGTACAATTGCGGGAAGCCTGGACACCGAAAGAAGGATTGTTGGGGTGCTGGAGTCATCCAATGCTAGCCCAAAGAGCTCAAAGGGCCGATCCCAAGGCAAGGACGCTGGGGCATTAGAGGATCAGGGGGAACCTGAAGGAGAAGCCAGTGCCCTCGAGCTGTGCGCCCTGACCGCGGACAGGAAGAAGAAGGTTGGGCCGTTTGCGAGAAGGATTTTCACAAGCGGCGCCAGCCGGTAGTGGGACTTGGTTGAAGTGCAACTTCGATACTGGCGCTTCGATCACGGCCGTGCCCAAGAAGTACCATGAGAACCCGCAGGAGAAGTCCAACTCATTCAAGACGGCGAGCGGGGAGTTGATCAGGAACTACGGGCCGGTCGGAGTGGTTGGCTATGACGTTGGTGGAGTGAAGAGGAGCATCAACGGAAATGCGACGGACGTGCACAAGGTGCTGGTGAGCGCGGGCAAGCTGCACGCCAAGGGACACTGCACGTTCAAGGGCGGCGGCGTGATCATGCCCTTGGACCACCCGGTGTGCAAGGAGATGGAGCGGACCTACGAGAGAGCGATGGGCAGGCACGACGACAAGGGCCTCATTCCGCTGCTAGAGGAAGGGGGCATCTACAACTTCTACCTGGAGATGGATCCGGAGACGGACGAAGGTGCGGCCAGCTCGGAGCCTGGAGGTGATGGGGCTGGTCTGGGTGCAACGCCCAAATCACGTGCTGGGGCGGCAAGGAGTGCGGCGAGACCGCCGTGGAAGGAGCCGCCTTGGAGGCAAGAAGAAGGAAGCGCTGTGTGGGCGCTGGAGGAGGAACCGCCTCGTGGGCCCGTCGCTCCCGAGGAGTCGGTAGAAGCCAGGGCCGTAAACCCAGGGTGGACCCCGCCGATGCCAACGGCGAGGGAAAGGAGAGAGCATGAGGCCAGCGGACACGCTGTCTACAGGAGCTGGTGCGAGGAGTGAGTGAATGCCACGGGCATGGTGCAACAGCACAGGAGGAAGGTTCGTCAGGAGGAGGAGCTGCCGAGTGTGGCCATGGACTATTTCTACCTTGGAGAGGAGGAAGGGTCAAAGCCGAACTTGGTGGCGGTGGATCGCCGCACAGGGATGATGGCGGCGGTGGTGTTGAAGCAGAAGGGCCTGGCGGACAGTACGGGCCAGAAGACGGTCACGCGGTTCTTGGAGACCTTGGGGTACCCGGAGGTGGTGATGAAGAGCGATGGAGAAAGGGCCATCGTCAAGATGAAGATGGAGGCGGCAAAGAAGGCAAGAGGAGTCCGGAAGGCAATTCCGGAGGAGTCGCCGGGGGGGATTCCAAGGCGAACGGAGTCGCAGAGCAGGCGGTCAAGGAGATCAAATGGAGGACTCGGGCGGTGTTGATGACGGTCGGCAAGAACCTGGACCCCCCAGCGGTACACAAAAAAGTGTACCACTTTTTTTCCGCTCGATTTTCCAAAAAGTGCTCGTTTGGAATTCCCAGCAAAAAAGCGCTCGATTTGTTTAACGCTCACGCCTGCGTGCAGCCTGACGCATGGTTAGAGCGCCAGAGCGAAACAACAATTGTAGCCAACAGCAAATAGCTCCCCGTGGGCCGCGCCGGCTTGTAAACTTGTGGGCAGGCAGGGCGCTTTTCAACGCAATGCTCCGCGGCGCTGTAGGCTGGGCTCTGCGATCGAGCCAAAGCACACGCGCGCACACACACACACCACACGCCCGGCAGAAACACCAGCAAGCTAGTCGGCGGTCATCTGGTCAAAGCATCTCGCGCAGCCACCGTGGCCAGGCTTGCGCCTTTATGCGTGAATCTCCTAGCCCAGCTAGGCGGCGTCGTTGAATTGGTTTTGCAATTCAATTGCCAGGCTTTGCATCTTCGCCTGGAAATGCGCTAGCTGCGCATCCTTAGCGTGACAAGGTCGCAAGCGCTTTGAAATTCGCAAGGCTACGTGCCTGCAGCGCAAGCGCTGTCTGAAGCCAAATCAAATCACTTCAGGGCTCGCAAGGCCAAGAAGAGGGCTCAAACAGCACAGCTGCGAGGCAGTGCCAAGCAAAAGGCGCTGGAGCCCGCAAAGTTCTGCCGGCGCGTTACACTCCGAATCTATAGTGTTGCATTGTCAAAACCTGCGTGGAGAAAACTTTACCAGCCATCCCTCTTGTCGAAACTTACTTGACAACCCTACTCCAGCGCGGCGCAGCCGGGAAATCGTACAAAAAACATGGCTGCTCGCCGCTTTTTTGGCGCGGCC